CAAATTAATTATAATTTTATTCTTTAAGAGTGTATTTAAGGGGCGCCTGGGTGGCTCAGTCCGTTAAGCATCCGACCTCAGCTCAGGTCACGATCTTACCATTCGTGAATTTGAGCCCCACATCAGGCTCTCTGCTATCAGTGCAGAGCTTGCTTCTGATCTCTGTCTGCCTCTGTTTCTGCCCCCTCCTGCTCTCTCTCTCTCTCTCTCTCACTGTCAAAAATAAACAAGCAAAAATTTTTAAAAAAAGTGTATTTAAGAAAAAGTTGGGATATTCATTACTTGCATTGCTCTTTTCAGTTTTACATTCATACATATGTCCCATGAGCTTTAAAAACAGGATTTTATGTATCTGGTTCTTTGTGTCTGTTCTATTTACCTCTGTTCTCTACTCTGCCAGTGCAATCATTCATTCACCCCACAGGTATTTAATGGTTCCTTGCAATGTGCTGGGCAATATAGCAGTGCTTTTTGTTGCTGTTTTTTATACACAGTGAATTCCGATTTATCAAAACACTTGGGAGCTCATATGACTCTTCATTTGTCTTATCTGGACCCAGAGTAAAAGGGCAAAGCCTTTCCATCTGTTCTCTTATAAGCAGTCTTTCTAATATTTAAGATTTCCTTCCTACTGGCTGAACTCCCTTTGTGGGCAAGGGGGAGTCCAGGGCCCTGAGTCAGAGGTGGGTGTGAGAATGGGTCTGGACACCACTCTAAGAGCAGCTGGAAGTCATGCAGAATAAAACCCAGTATTCATGACAAAGATAGACCACGGGTCACGGAGACCCTCGGAAACGAGCATTTATTCAGAAGGCCCCAAATGGGATGTGCACCTTCTAAGGGGGCTGAGGCCACGGGTCTAACTAGGGACCCCCAGTAGCTGGATTGGGAAGTAGGACCTGGGAAGACCCTGGAGCCTAGGGTCAAAAGCACCTGTGTAGACGCTCTGTGTGGTTCTTGAAACCACTTAGCTGGTTTTAGCCACTTCTAGTGAAAATGAATTTAAACTTGCATCCAAGATGGAAAACCACACAGTTCAGGGTTCATGTTCTAAACATTAACTTTTATTCTTCAGTTCTGTCCACATAGGTGGTGGTACAGCAGATTGGATGAACCCAGAAAAGACCCCAAAATTTGTTCATCCTACCTCCTCCAGCTGACTCCCCAGATTGTTTTCTTGTGATTTCCTCATTCTTTTAAAAGTCAGCCGTGCAAAAGTTTCCTATCTGTTCACTCTACGCTGCACGTAATCACGGGGCCTGTTAGCCTAGGTCCTGGTGGTTTGCAGGTGTTGCTCCGTGGCTGTTCTGTGCTCTGCTCTGGTGAGGTTTCCCTGGTGCTGCCTTCCATCGAGGTCTCTAGCTCTCCCTAGGGTCTGCTCTGCTTTGCAATGGACTTAGCAGAGGCAATTTGCAAATAACCAAATTAAGCCTTCTTAAATGATTGAAAACATAAGATGGGTAAAATCTAAACCAGCTTTAAGCAAAGTAATAGAAATTGAAATGTGTATATTCTTTTATCTTTTATTTCCTTTTTTTCTTTTTTAGTGAACACATAAAAACTTTTTTAATTCGTACCTGTCTCCATTTCCAGCTCATGCATTGTCTCCTGGGACAGTCAGTCTGGCAGTGAAAATATGTCTGTGAGTTCCTTGTGGGTGGGGCCCTTCTCACTCATCCTGTCCCCAAAGCACCTTGCTCAGTATCTGGTTCCAATTAAGTGCTAAGTAAAAAGAAAAATAAATAAGTAATAAAAAAGTGCTCAGTAAATGTGCTGAGCAGAATGAATTAAATCAACCAGTAATACCAAAAGTGTCCAGCAAGAAATAAAAATCTTATATAACAAATCAGGGGTAAAAATTTCCCACTACAAATCACCCAAAAGCACTAAATAAGGTATAACAATGTTGCTTTAAAATGCACAGCTGAGATTTCAAGAAGGTAGAAAAAAATTTCAATACAAGAGCTGAGAATCAGGGGCCAGGCAATGGGGGCGACCGGTTCTCAGAGCAACTGCTGGGTCCTCACGAAGAGCTGGGTGCGCAGCCTCCCGGTGCAGATGGTGGTGGGCGGCTGGAGCTGAGAGCTGCACCAAAACTCTGTCATCAGGCAGAGGTGACAGGGAACGTTTTCTTACCCGCATTTGCTCTCCGGGATGAAAATCTAAGACTGTCACCACAGGTGTGTCCCCCACAAGTTGGGTTTTCCCGTTTGTGTCGTCTCATGCTACAGAAACCCTAAGCAGAGACATTCAGGTGAAGTGTCCTGAGCTAGAAGCCGCAGGGTACGTGGCAGAAGCAAGCACATGTGCTCCTGGGAGGAAGCATCTTTGTCCAGGCCTCACAAGTCCCCATAGATCAAGTCCGAGGACAAGCTCGTCTCCCAAAGGCACAGACTACACAAAGAAGGAGCCACTGTGTGTCAAAGTCCGCAGGTAGCAAAGTGCAATTACATCCTCAAAACTTCAGATAACCAATGCAAATAAATCCATTTGAAATGTTTTTTATAAAGTGGGAATTAGAAATATAAACCCAAAACAAGATGCTTTAGCCAGACCTTATCTGGGAAAAAATCGACCTAAAAAAATAAGTCAAGAGGATACATTGCATAGGGGCTCAGACGCAGGCTCTGGCGTGAAGAGTGTGGGCACTGGGGCTGTGGCGCCGGATGTGGCAGGGAGAGGGGACCACTCAGGAGGGCCGGCGGTCTGTCTGACGGCAAGCCTGGTGGGAGGTGACGCCGCGGCTAACGGCCCGAGTGATGCTCCAGTTCTCCGATGCGGAGAGCGTGACTGCCCCGTGTACAGAGAGAAAGCCACGGCCAGGCAACAGTGCTGATGCCAGAAAATGCCAGAGACCAGGGACAGACGGCCCCCGCACGCACAGGAGCAGCCGGGCAGACAGCAGGTGCCTTCCGAGGGCCTGGAGAAGAGGCCCATCCACTCAGGACTGTACTGAAGCTGAACGTCCACCCAGAAATGAAAGGGAAAGAGACATTTCAGAAGAGCAAGCCAACAGGATCCACAATGAGCAGACCTTCATTAATAATGCCCAGGGAATGTGCTTTAAGGGGAGGTATTAAGCCAGAAAGAAGAACTGAGAATCAAGAAAGAATGTAAGCAAAAATAAACAAATAAGGAAGCCTAGCAAAGACTGACTATTTAAAGCAATGGTAAAATTGGGCAGAAGGTACTAAAAACCAAGGTGGAGCAAATACTGGACAGCAAATAATACAGTTGACGGGGTGATAAAAGTTATATGCAGTATGTGCGCCGAATAAAACTAATCAAAACGTCAGAACAATGGCACGAGGTATTCGTCACATGCACACGCCCTGTGAAAGCATCACGGGGTCAGCACCCCGGCATCAGTGAAGTGGCTGGTTGCCTGGGGCATCCCGGGGGTCCGACCATTGTCCCTCTGGTTTTGCTGATTGCTGGTAGGTGTGGAATAGATGCTATGTGTTAATATGCATCTAACATATATTACATGTTATGTATATATTAGGTATTATCTGGTATGTATACATTATATATAAATATATTATATTGTTTTCTGTGCTTTGGGTAGGTCTGAAATACAGCATTTTCCAGTTATTTAATGTGAACTCTGATCACAAAACAAAATCCCCAGTCCTGTTTATAATCCCTCGCTCAGAACAGAAAATAGAAAATGGACAAAGACTTAAAATTGGAGTTTTCAAAGAGACTTTCAGAAGGCCAGCATGCTATCTCCTCTCTGCCTGAGCTAAGAAGATTGACAACGGTGTCATCACAGGTGTGGACTCCTTACAATTTAGAATGGGGATCTTGGTTTGCCTCTTAAGGTTCAACAAGCAAAAACCCTCCTAAAATAGATGATACATTATTGCCAGATCAAACCTCAAGCTAACGTTGATTGCCTGAACTATTTGGGAGGCTATACTAAGTAATTTCCTTTTCTCATTAAATCTTAACTAGACACTCATTTTTCCAAATATTATGGTTTACTTCTGAAATGCGTCATTAGCCAGGACTAAGCCTCCAGTAACAAGGGTAACACGGAGAGGGAAAGCTCTCGCTGAAGGGCATCACCCCGATGGTAAAAACAACACAGTGGACAGACGGTGGGTGCAGGGCAGCCCACAGGGGTCCGCTGACCTGCAGAAGCAGCCGAGCCCCATGAAGCTGCAGGAGCAAGGGTCTCCTGGGGCCGCCCTCCTGCCCCAGCCTGCACCCGAGTTTGCTGGATGACCCGGGGTGAGGGCTCTGCTCAGTGTGTCCCTGCTGGGCGCAGCCCTCCGTCTAGAGTTTGGAACTAAGCTGGTGTGAACTGGGCTGTGGAGAAATCAGGGCCAATGCAGAATGTCTCCTGGTCCCCCTCTCAGGATCCAGGGCAGCGTAGACCCGGTTAGGTCAGGACGTATTTGCAAAACCAGTCAGTCCCTGTGGTTTCTGGGGTGCTCTCACAGGAGGCATCCCTCCAAACCCCTCTGGTCTCAGCAGCGGAACAGTGAGCAGACAGTGAAGCTGGGGACCCCTTCAGGTCAGCCCTCCCCTTTCTCCATACAAAGTCATCCGCAGTGCGTTTTAAGGAAAAAGGAGGGCGTTTAAAGATGTGAATAAAATGTTTGGGTTCAGAATGGAGGTGGGCTTGGGTGCCTGGGTGGCTCAGTCAGTTAAGCATCTGACTTTGGCTCAGGTCATGATTTCACAGTTCGTGGGTTGAGTCCCATGGGCCTCTGTGCTGACAGCACAGAGCCTTGAACCTGCTTCAGATTCTGTGTCTCCCTCTCTCTCTGCCCCTCCTCCATTCAGGCTCTGTCTCTGTCTCTCAAAACTAAATAAATGTTAAAAAAAAAAAAAAAAGAATGGAGGTGGGCTGTGAAATGACACTGTCTCGTGCACCTGGTGATGGGCAGCCAAGAGCCCTGCGCGAAAGGGAGCATGTGGTCGGATCTGGGAACCTATGCTTTGTGCAGTGCTGGCCACTAAAACTCACACATGTTTTCCTTTCTTTGTAGATCACGTTTTATGTTCTGGTGAAAGCCATTTACACGCTGGGCTACAGCGTCTCCCTGATTTCCCTTACGACCGGAAGCATAATTCTTTGCCTCTGCAGGTAAGTATCAGAAATGAGCAGTTCTACAGGCTGAGACCAGAAATTGTCCCTTCAGAGGAGGACAGAAGGTCACTGCCTCCAAGCTCTCTCTTAAAACTCCCTTGGAGAATGCCGGTGTGAAATGAGATACTAGTATTTACATTTTTATTTAAATATTCTGCATTTCTTATGTAAAGAGATTATATTGACTTCGGACAAGAATTCAGTTCAACTGCTATTTACTAAATATTAGCCATTGTGCAAATCCTTTGAAAATACGGAAGCCATGTGATCTTGCCCTTGCTATTCAGAAAGCAGCTACATTTGGGGCATCGGTGCTTTATTAAGAGACACTACCCTGTGTTCAAGAGTATGAAAGCAGGAGTCAGACTGCCTGGGTTCAAATCCTGGGTCAGTCTCTTAGTAGCTGTGTGACCTTGGACAAATTACTTAACTTCTCTATAACCTGTAAAGTGTGGGTGCTAACGAAGCTCTGTGGCATGCAGCAAGCACTCTAAATTTTGCCAGTTTTTTCCCTGGTAGTGAGGTTAGAGTTCTCCCTGACCTGAACCATGGGTAGGTCATTTCAGTAGCTAACGACATGCACTGTATACAGCTGGTTGGTCAGGGTTAGAAGTAGAGGCCTTGGTTTCAGAACAGAAGCTTCATCTTGAAAAGCTCGAGTATCACTAGCACTAAACAAAGTAGATGATATCCTCTTATTTTAACAGGGATTTGATCACCCCAGGTATTATTTCTCTTTACACAAATTAGCTCACACGCTGGCCAGTATTCCGATTAGATCAAAGATATAACAAATGGAATATTTTAGAAACAGACAGCCCCTTAGGAGATCCATACTTGGAATTAAACAAGTGAAAAGTGATGAAGAATGTAGCTGAGAATCCCATCAAATGTAATAAAGTTATTTATTTTTTCTCAGGCATCTCAAATATATCAGGAGGGTGGTCATTCTCAGAAAGAGTAAGTCAGTACCTTTAATCTGGAAGTGTGTGGGGGCAGGCCATCGTATTCTATTTCTGAAAAGAAGAAACAACTCTGGTACAACATTAATGTGTTCTGTCTTCTGTACTTTATGTATTTTTAAATCTTCAAATTGTTAAAGATTTAAAACAGAAAGGAAAAATGTAGGGAGGTAAGCTGGCACAGGGTAACATGAACTAGAAAAATTTCAGCTTATTTTTAAAGAGTTCCCACATTGAACAATCCATATCTTTGGCACTGGCAATTTCTCTCAGATTTGTGATGCATGACATATTTAATTAGCCAGCCTACTGGCATTTTGGAAGAGTTGCAAACGTGGATGTTGGTCTTACAGAGAATCTCAAATGGTGTCAAATGAAACAATCTTTTATACATGGATGTCATTAGTCACGTACTGGTGACACTTGGTTAGGAAAGGACATGTCTGCTTTGGATGTCATTCTGCTGCTGGTGCGGTGTGTGACGGTCGCTGGGAAAAGTGCCCACGCTGGTGTGCAGCCCGCAGGGTTGCCTGCAGCCCGGGCCACAGAGATGCTTGCACTTCTGCCTCCATCTGTCAGCCGGGCTTCCGTGCCCGCTGCCACAGTGTTGATTTCAAACTCCCGACTGTGAAAACAACTCTGCCATCCTAGTAAAGCCACCCAGGAAACAGAATTATTTACAGTCATGGAACATTTGCTGTTCATAATAGCCTCATACCGTAGCTAAGAAAGCATTAAGTAACCATGTTCTTCTTTTACAAACAGAAACGGAGCGACTTACCTCCTACGCCAAGTCCAAAGTGCAGCGTAGACTTGAATAACAAGCACACGACCTAGTTTTGCGTGGGATTCGCTGGGTGGTCATTGCAGCTGCCATCCTGGAGTGCACATGTGGTCCGGGCACTTGACAAGGCAGCTTCAGTTCCCACGAGCCCAGGAGTAGCTGCACCAGTTGCTGACACAGACCACACCCCACCCTGTATAGGTGTTTATTCACTCGGTCCTTACATTAGCTGCAGCAGGGAAGTGCTGTTCTGTCCCCGTTCTACCAGTTCGACCCGTGAGAGCAGGGCAGCCCAGAGGGGTTCCATTTACCCCGCCCCCCATGCCTTTGGCGTTTAATGCTGTATTTTAATCCGACATCTATTTTAAGGCCATAGTTGCCATCATTTAAAGTCAGTATCTACTTAGAGATGCCACGTCTTCACTTTTCCTGAGTTCTCCCTTCCTTCCTGTTCCTTCCTGTTTTCCGTGTCTCCCCCTGGGGCCCTTCCCCTTCTGCCCCAAGACCCCCTTCAGTATTTCCGTCAGCACAGGCCTGCCGGCAATGACTTCTCAGGGTTTTTGATTGCCTGAGATCATCTTAATTTTGCCTTCATTTGAGGATATTTTTGAGAGTGTTGAATTCCTCATCGGCAGCTATTTTCTTTCATCACACGAAACATGAACCTCGTTTTTCTTTTTAAATTCCGCTGCCAGTCTCTCGGCTGCTGCACTGAAGGGACGCGTCGTGTTCCCAGGCGCTTAGAGGGTTTTGTTTGGTCTCGGGGTTTTAGCAGCTACCTAACGTGGTTTTCTTTGTCTTTCTCCTCGGGGTTAATAACATTTCTTTAATCTGTTATTGTATTTTACTAGTTTCCAAAAATCCTTAGCTAGTATTCTTTAAATATTGCATCTTCCTTTTTGTCTCCTGTTTCTGCCAAAACTATATTGCCATGTGTTCAGGGTTTTCACCATTTTCCCATATATTTCCTACACTTTTTCTACACATTCCCTCATTTTGTCTCTACTTTAATCTGTACTTATTCTAATTCAGAGTATTGTTTGTTTTCTAATTCAGATTATTCTCATGTGCTGTGTCTGATCTAATGTTAGACTCAGCTATGTCTTCATTTTAGGGCTCTTTCTGAGCTTTCAGTGTTTGTTTGGTTGTTATAATCACTTCCATTCTTTAATAAAATTCTGGCCCTCTTTGTCAGTTTTCTTGAATATATAAACCTGAGTAAGACCGTGCATGTCTTAAATGCCACTGTATGAATCTCTTTCTATTCTTCGGGGTGGTTGTTGCACTTGATCGTTTGCTCGTGTTCCTGGCATATCTTGTAACTCATTTTTGAAATTACAAATAATTAAATTGTAGAGGCTTTGGGTGACATCTTACTACAGAGAGGATTTAATTTTTCTAGCAAGATGGGCAGGCCACCCAGAGCCAGTCGGGGGTTGAGCTGATTTGAGACTGTGTTTTGGGCTTTGGGAAGTCTGTCATTTCTGGTTTGTCACAGCTCCTAGGTCATAGCTCTTCCGGGGTTTCTAATTAAAGCCCGGGAGCTCCTCTGCTCCTGCTGACCCTGAATTCCAGCAGTTGTTGCTCAGTACATGAGATTGCTAACATTTCTTACCAGCATTTTGCTCCTCAGCCAGTGCTTTGGCCTCGTCCCTCAGCCTCTCAGCCAGCACAGCACACCTTGTGTGGGCAGCTGCCTCGCATGAGGAGACCCGAGGCACAGGGTGGACGTAGGGCACATCTCCGTGTCCCCCTTCTTGCCAGGGTCTTGGTCCTCCAGGTGGCTTTCTGAAATCACGCTGAGCCCTGGGGGTGGGGGGGAGGCGGGGGGGGGGGAGGTCGTCAGATAAGCTGCTTCTTTGTAGCCTCTCATGCAAGTCTTCTGCGCTATGTTTTTTAATGTCCTTTAAAAATTTTTAACTTTATTTAAACCTAAAGATCTAGCACTCAGTGACTGTGGAAGTACACTTGCGTGAAGCTTGCTTCCCGAGGGCTCTGAATTAAAAGTCAAAGTCAAATCAAATGCCCAAATAAGCCTTCTCCAGAGCAGAATTTAAGTGGTACAAGAGAATTAAAAACAAAATGTTCCAAGCACTTTTTAGAGAAGCAAGGTATCACAGAAAGTTAAGGCAGGTCATCAATGTGGGCCTTTGCAGGAAGTTTGCTGTGAAGATGTTGGGTCTTCACGGCTGTGAAGTGGGCACACACCATGGCAGGCTCAGGACTCAGCACTATTTGCTTTATACTGTTATCTTAAATCCTGTTCCACAACCCCAGCCTAAGGAGATCATCAGAAATAAAGGAACAGGTTTATGTAGGAAAATAGTTACCATAATTCAAAACTGAAAACATCCTAAATATACAGTAAGAAACAGTAACTTCCATACAAAAAGAAGAAAACCTTAAGATTGAAGCCACAGAGGCAGTTGTTAAAGTGTTGACATCCAAGTTTAATTATCTAACCCTCCCTCTACCCCATCCCCGTCCCCACCTCACGCCTTCTCTTCCCTTCCTCCCCCACCCTCACCCTTCATCCCTGCCTCTCCCCACCCCTTCCCCTACCTCCCCCTGTACCTCATCCCTGCCTCCCCCACCACAGGAAGCTGCACTGTACCCGGAACTACATCCACCTGAACCTGTTCCTCTCCTTCATCCTAAGAGCCATCTCAGTGTTGGTGAAGGACGATATTCTGTACTCCAGCTCAGGCACGCTTCACTGCCCCGACCAGCCATCCTCCTGGGTAAGGCTGTCCCTGTGAGCAGGATCCTCTCACTGAGGGGAGGGTGGCCTGTGTGAACCGCCCCAGGTACCTGCCTCCTTACTGCCCCACCCCTTAGTCTCTGTCTCCAGCTCACGCTGTGATGAAGTCCCATAGCCAGTGCACAGGGGTCTCCGAGGCCCTGGTGAAGGCAAGGGGTCCGACCCGAGAAGCGCAGGGAACTGCCCAAGAGGCTGGGGCTCAGAGCAGGTCCAGGTGGGCAGGTGAGACAGAGGCAGGTGGGTGAGCAGTGTCCCGGGCACCTCCAAAGGTTGGGAGGTCATGGGCCATGAGCACTGAACCCCAGGCAGAGGCAGGACAGTGCAAGGCCACTGTCCGCAGTGGGCCGCAGCAGCTCCGGGCTAGAAACCCCAGGTACCGATGGGGACACACGATGCCATTATCTTCACCCAAAATCTCCCAGATTATGAGCAACAGACGCTTCCGTTGGTTGCCGGGAGGAAATCATCCGTGCAGTGAATGACTTTGCTCACTTGTGAATGAGGACACAAGGCTGAGGGAAGCCCAGCAGCTGGACGCGCCCCATGGGGCTGCGGTCAGGGCCCCGAGCACAGGTGCACAGCACACGCCGGCATCAGAGACGCCCCGAGGCTCCAGGTCCGGGGACTGAAGTGTGAGAAGGGGGGGCAGGGTCCCAGCTGCACCCCTCCAGCACGGTGCCACCACGCCGTGTGCCGACGGAGGAGAGAAGGGTGGGGCACAGGAGGGGGATGAGGAGGGAAGGAGGCAGGAGGGAAGCAGGCCTGGGTGTTCCTTCTTCTTGTCCCCAGAGAACCGGAGGTTTTGAGTAAGTTGGTCAGAGACACGGTCAGCCCTCAGCATGAGGAACAGAGAAAACATCTTTTCCTACAGTTACATTTGTGTGGACATTTTTGTTCCCAGCTGGGTTTGACCAAACCAACCTTACCCTCCCAGGTCGCACACGGGGCTCATCGTCCCCAGACAGTCCCAGGGTCCGCTTCTGAAGACATTTGCAAGAGCCAGCCGTGCGCACTGGTGGGAGGCTCTGGAACCAGGGGACGGGCCTTGGCCCACCTGCCTCTGTGTGTGTGTGCGTGTGTGCGTGTGTATGTGCGCGCGGCAGCGGGTCCGGCGGTGCTCCTGACATGCTCTCCGCCCTGAGGGATGCAGTTTGAAACCACAGACCAGGAAGGGGAAGTCAGCAGAGAGCTGGGCAGTCCTCAGACCTCCTGTCCTTAAACGATGCTGATGGTCAAAGAAAAAGCAGGAAGAAATGCAGAGACGGTGTTTTCACTGTTTTACCAAGAAAGTGGAGTCAGGTTACACACGCTTTTCCTGCGTCTTTCTTCCTCAACCAGCAGGACACCATGGCAATTCTCCAAGTCACCTGGCGTGTCAGTTTGAATGGTGGCACAATAGTCTAGCGTGTGACGTCACCGTATTTAACCGTCCCACCAGTTACAAGCACCGCGGGCGTCACCGCACGCATGTCTTCACAGGTGTCTTCGTGCACCATTGTTCCTCTCTCAGGAGGAAGTCATGGGGGATGCAGGGCACACGTATTTAAAGACTAACAAACATTGCCGCTTGGGTTTCCGAAAGGCCAATGATGTGCAGTGCTTTTCAGAGCTTTGCCGTCTGGTGGGTGCAGAACACACACTTCTGTGTTCCAGTGAGTGGCATTAAGTCACAAGTTCACTGCGGTTAGTTCCCATCCCATAGTTGTGTTCTCACATGCATCTCTCCGCTTGCAGCGCCCGATCGTGACACTCAGTGGGTGGCTTCCGTGCGCCAGCCCGGCTCCTGGCCCTGAGGGTGTCTGGCACTCAGCCTCAGGAAGCTGCAACTGCTCTCTAGGCAGCACCTTACAAAGATAAACTGCTTAGGAAAGAGGGACCTGGAAGGTCAGGGTGGGAGGTGGCGTGGGGGCACCTTCAGGGGGCAGCCTAGTGAGCACTCCTGTTATATCCACACAACAACTCACATATGTGCGTCCACCTGTATTTACACATACAAATATACCCACTTGTCTCAGCACATCCACATATATATGAGCATATCCACACCCGTATAGGTATATTCACGTATGTATCAAATATATCCACACACACATATAAGTACACGTAAGTAGGCATGCATCTCCATCGCACCTGTATACATATATATTTGGGGGGCAGGGAGGCAGCAAAGATACAGAAGAATAGAAATGAAGTCCTGTTCTTTTTCAGCACGCTTAAACAAACTTACTGACTAAAAGCCTCAATTTCATATTTGCTCAAGAGGCTAAAATACCTGCATGTTTAGGTGAAGGTCTGAGAGATTAAAACATATTTCTTTTATATGCTGCATGATTGTTCCCAGGGAAGACTCTTTCAAAGCGCTTAGGGACATAAGTGCTTGCTGGATTCTCTTGTTTTGCCCTTTGCTTTTCTGTCTCCTGTCGAGTGGGTGGTGAGGACGAACAGGGCAGGTGGGTGAGCAGACGGTGGCAACGCAGACAGTGGAGGGGCAGGGGCGAGGGCGGGGTGCTCACCGCCAAGTGCCCGCAGCTCGCTGCCATCAGAGGCGTCTGCGGACATCTGCCCCCTGCCCGTGTTTACCTTCCAGCGAGTTCTGAGTCCCAGGGCTGTGGATGCCAAGGGCCTCACTCTAACCCTGCTGCGCTGGTGTCCTCGGCTCCTCCTCCTGGAGCACCTCTGCCCGGGTGGACTGTTTTATCCGAGTGAGGCCGTGTTCTCTCACTCTGCCCGTGACTTTCCAGGTCGGCTGCAAGCTGAGCCTGGTGCTCTTCCAGTACTGCATCATGGCGAACTTCTACTGGCTGCTGGTGGAAGGGCTGTACCTGCACACCCTCCTGGTGGCCATATTCTCCCCCGGCCGTCGCTTCGTGGCCTATCTCCTAATCGGCTGGGGTAAGGACTGTCCCCTATGTGTGCCCGACACCCTGTCTGCCACCGTGCAACCCTCCAGGCCTCTGTTCCCAACCCTACATCTACAAACGCAGACCTCTCAGCTCAGAAAACCCTTTCCTGTCTCCGTACGACGCACGTCAGGTCCTATTAGGAGAAGCTTTCCTGGGATGACTAGGGGTTCCTGTAGGCAACACCTCCATATTTCTGAGAATCGGGGACCTGGTTTAAAACTGCTCTAAGCTCCCACTCCTGGGGCACACCCTGTGGTGGGACAGTCAGAAAGAAGGGGCTTGCAGAGGTAGGCCCTCTGTCAGGAGGTCCTGAGGACATGCCAGGTAGCAGGAGCCTCCCTTAGTCAGGACTGGAAGGGCTGTGAAACCACGGGACACCCACGTTCTCACCTCTTACAGTCATGGTCATGGCCGTGCTCCCGCCCACAGTAACCTACTCACGATGCACCATGATGCTTTTCAGGCCTGTAAAGCCTCAGCTTTCAAACACATGTTTATCTTCACTGCTTTGTAAGGTGTGAGCATAAACGTCTCTGTGCTTCTGAAGCGTTTCCACTCGATCTTCCCATCAGAAAGCCCTTGTCCTTGCCGACTCTGGTGAAGGAAGGTGCACACTTGCTAACTAGCGCGGAGTTAGGGGTAACCTGGTGTCTCTCTGCAGGCATCCCCACCATCTGCACAGGCGCATGGACTGCAGCCAGGCTCTCCTTAGAAGACACAGGGTGAGTGCTGTGTTCATGCCTCTGCCTTTATTTTTTTTTTAATATATTTTTTTAATATTTTTTATTTATTTCTAGGAGAGAGAGAGACAGTGTGAGCAGGGGAGGGTCAGAGAGAGAGGGAGACACAGACTGAAACAGGCTCCAGGCTCCGAGCTGGCAGTCAGCACAGAGCCCGACGCGGGGCCCGAACCCACAAACCGCAAGATCATGACCTGAGCGAAAGTCGGACGCTTAACCAACTAAGCCACCCAGGCACCCCAATGCCTCTGCCTTTAAAATGAGATTGAGCAATGCTAACTTGCTGGCATCCTTACGTCTTTGGAAACTAGAAAGAAGCTTATTATCTGGGTGGAAGGAAGGTTTGCATTTGCAGCTGCAGCCATGCAAAGAGTAACACGGCCAGCATTTGAACACCCTGCACAAGGGAAGACCTTGACCTTCACGAGGGAGGCAGTGGTTTGGGGCGGGAGTATTTGGAGAAGATGCGTATGGGGGATGGGAACTGAACCAGGTCCTATGTGAAGCTGGGATTCGGATAAAGCCAGCAGGGACGGGAGCAGCAGCTGAGGTGAGAGAAGCAGGGCTTACAAAAGGGAACCAAGCAAAACGCAGGCACTGTTTGCCTGGAGCCAAGTATGGACAGGTGACGAGCTGAAGACCAGGTTGAAATGGCCAGTGAGAGTACAGCCCTCTGAGACCGTTGTTCTCTAGGATGCCACATGAGCAGGGCCCAGAGCTCTTCTGTTTTGCGTACAGTGAGCTGGGCCATGGCCCGAAACTCAGGCACCGACCGTTCCCAGCTTGAGTGCTGTGCCTCCTTTAAAGGGCTCTCAGGGTCTACCAGTTATCTGCCACTGGTAACAGACCACCCTGAAAGTCAGTGGCTTACATGATCCCGGTTGTGCACATGGCGCCCTTCTGGCCTGAGCCCGGCTCGCTCACACACCGTGGGCACCTGCCAGCCTGGCCGAGAGCTGGCGTGTCTGAGGCAGCTCCCGCCGGAAGGCTCCTTTCTGTCCTGCAGATTCCGAGGACTCCACACCCCAAAACCAGCTAAGATCCGGAGGGAGGGTTGGTCTCCGCCGTTGGTGGGAAGGGCTGCAGAGTCCCACTGTGGGGGTGAGGGTCACAGAGGGCATAATGGAGACACTTGCAAGCACCCTATCCCAGCTCCCTACTGGGGACCGCTGAGAACCCAGAATGGAAACACACCACTAGACAGACGTTCCTGGCTGCGCCTGCCGCAGTTACTCCAAAGACATTTTAAACCTTCATTCAAGATACAAATACAGGGGCGCCTGGGTGGCTTGAGTTGAGCGTCCGACTTCGGCTCAGGTCATGATCTCGCAGTTCGTGGGTTCGAGCCCCGCGTCGGGCTCTGTGCTGACAGCTCAGAGCCTGGAGCTGCTTCAGATTCTGTGTCTCCCTCTCTCTCTCTGTCACTCTGTCCCCTGCTCATTGTCTCTCTCTCTCTCTCAAAAATAAATAAGCTTAAAAAAGATACAAATACAAAACATTTGAGAGGTGAGAGGAAATTAATTTTCAGAAGAAAAACTTTCCTTTTTTGATGTTGGCTAGAGCGAGCGTGAGCTATACCAACTCCCAAGTACAGGGACTTGCGGGGGGTTTGCCCCTCCCCTCCCACCCTCTGGAAAGTGACACAAAGCCACTCCAGCGGGATGGATTGCATCCAGATCTGTGAAGGCAGAGCACCTCTGCTCTCACGGTGGCACACATGGCGGTTGGGAGGGACCCTGTAACAGGCCAGGCGCACAGCGCATGAGGTGGGAGGTGCCATGCCGGCCCCATGTCAGGGGTGAGGCCACGGGCAGCGCCTGTACCCTCGTGCTTGGTTTGTGGATGAATCAGAGGTAACATGATTTTTCTTCTCTCTTTTCAACAGTTGCTGGGATACCAATGACCACAGTGTTCCCTGGTGGCTTATACGAACACCGATTTTAATATCTATTATAGTAAGTAATTCCTGTATTGAAACATGAGTTATCCATTGGGTTGCACAGGTGGGCAGAAAGGGAGCCCCTTTCCCTGTATTAAATATTAATAGCCCTGTTCTATTTGGTCTTCTGGGAGAACTGCACACAAGCAGGCCAGCCCCTTCCCGCAGTCACAGTCGTAGACTCAGTCTCCCTTCAGGACGAGGTCGTATGGGGGGGGGGGGCGGAGAGAGATGCACGATCTCCTGTGGGGGAGGGAGACCTTCAGGGAGTCAGAGTCACCAAGTCACAGTATTAGGGCTCAACTGCATTTCCCTTTTCCGTCTCACGTCTCAGATTCACTTATGAGACATTTGAGGCAGCTGAGAGACAAGGCCACTGCAACTTTGGGGGCGCCCCAGTCTGGGCAGGGCTCCTGAGCTCCTGTGACGGGTGCCTGCAGCTCCGTCCCAGGCGAGGAGGCCACCCGGGGTGCTGGGGCGTCCCAGGCGAGGACACCACCCAGGGGGCTGGGGTGTCCCGGCCACACCTCCCTCCCTTGCAGGGGAAATCACACACAACATGTTGTCTCTATTTGTGCAGGTCAATTTTGTCCTTTTTGTCAGTATTATACGAATTTTACTCCAGAAGTTGACATCCCCAGACATCGGCGGCAACGACCAGTCACAGTATAAGTGAGTATGTGTGTGGACCCGAGAGTAAGGAGGACGGGCATGGGTGGAGAGCAGAGACACTAGGGCCCTGGCTCTGCGCAGCCGGCAGCGGCCCAAGGTCGCCTCCTTCGGGTGCAGGGCTGTGCTTGTGGCTAATTCGGCAGTGTCTGCTCCAAGCTGTTGACATGGTGATTATTCCAGACAAGCCCTTTCTTTCATTTCCGCATTGATGACCTCTAGTGAGCTTGCTCACTGAGGCATTTTGCCCACTTTCCTGTTTTGTAATCTGTTCTCCTTGGCCTCACGTTATTTGTATTTTATGTTTAATTCTTCTGCCCCATCAGACCACGTGGTCCTTGCTGGCACCTAATGCCAGGCCTTGAGATTAATAATAATTCACGTTTATTGGCTCAGTGATTACGTGAAGATGGTCCTCATCTTCCCCATTCTCAGTGAGGAAGAGAACAGGGGTTAAGTAATTCACCCACAATCATGCAGCTAATTAATGAGGATCTGAAGACTATAAAAGAACTCAAAGATTCTATAAATTTCTATCAAGAATTTATAAAGAAAAAGTAAAACCCACATGTTTATTATAAAGTGGACACCAGCTTGGAGTAGTTTGTCAAGCCCATGGGAGCCTCAATTTCAGATAGACCGGGTTTAGATTCTCAGCCACCCAGAGCTGTGTGACCCTGAGCAGGCTATCTGACTCCTGGCCTGGGGGGGTGGGGGGACGTCTCCTGTCTCCTTCCTCTCCATCCTTCAGACAACGGGAGTGGACCTAGAAGCCGGTCAGGCAGTGTGTCTCATGGTCAGAGGCCTGGTGCTGGGTTTACATACCAACTGGAAGCCTCAGGGATGTGACTTCACTGCTCTGTGCCTCAGTTTCCTCATGAAGATTAACTGAGTTAATATTTGAAAGACACTTAGTCCCTGGCACTAGTGAGTACTGTGGGAAAGTTTGGTTAACGTATATGTCTGATTCCACCCGGGGGCACATGAAATCCAAGGAATCCCTTTCTCTGCCCAGTCTGTTGAATGAGGCTGCACAAAAGGCCAGATCTAGCGATGAGATTCTGCATCAGACCACGAAGGATAAAGCTGAAGGTCCTGGAGCCACCCATACCTGGCGCTCAGGGTGGGGTTAGGGTTCTCTGTTGCCCTTGAAACTGAGTGTTGATTTTTGCCCAGTCGTGTTTAGCCCCCATGCTGACCTTTTCTGTGGGTTCTTTGGGAGTGTTCATTAGGTGGGTCTTACAGATACTTGCTTGTATTTTAGGAACAAAAATAAGTAAAGAAATAGAATCTGTTCTTTTCCCAGGATAACAAAACAGGCAGAGCATGTCTATGACACTGCCCTCTGGTTGTATCTTGACGTCTTTTCTCTGTAACTGTCATTATAACAGTAACAAAGTCCCCGGAGCAGGGCAGCCTCACCGGAAACCCTCTAGAGACAAGCAGAGAGCAAACTGCAGGGGTGCATAGTACAGAGGGGCGTTCAGGCAGCTCTCCATGTCACGGTGAACTAAAGCCACCTCCTGTCCTCAGGCTGATGCTGGACCGGGGCGTTAAGTGCAGCCACCTTGTAAGGTTAGACGTCTGGGTCTGTGAAGGGCAGAGTGCTGCAGTGCTTGCGGACGGGCCTTCCTCGGCGACAAGGCCCCGGTCGCTCCCCGGGCTTCTGGGGTTTGTGCAGATTGCCCGAAACAGGAGACATCCTGAACTTACATCCCATACCAGGCTCTAGGTGCTAGGTTTGATGCAGGTGCCTCAAAAATTTGTAAAGAAATTCATGACTTTCTCTAAGCATTGGGTGAGGCCTCCTTACTCACCTCCCTCGGGATGAGGCTGCTGGGTCACTGGAGAGGCTGCTGGATGTTCAGTTAGGGCATCTCGACCTGCACGCACATCACCAGGTGGCCTGACCTGGGCCAAGATCCTCATTCCTGACCAGTTGACCTCAGTCCCAGTTGACCCCAATGCTCCTGACACAGGCCGTGCTGGAGCTGCAAGGGTCAAATCTGGCCGCGCACTGGGATCCGCCAGATCCACCAGTCCTGCCCGCAGAGACCTGATTTCATAGGGATGAGGAGGCGGCTTGGACTGCGGCATCTAATCCCTGGATGATTCTAACGTGCAGCAGTGAGAGGCACTGCTCGGAGCAGTGGTTCTCAGCATAGGGTTCCCAGTCGGCAGCCACCGCATCTCTGGGACCCTGGTGGAAACACAGATTCGGACGACACCCATCCTCAGGGCCAGCAGCCTGACGGTGGGGCCAGCCCTCCAGGAGGCTCTGGTGCAGCCCGAGAAGCCCCGGCTTAGAGAACAGGGACTGTATCTGCGCGGGGCGGGCACGGACACAGGGACACAGCACAGCAGGTGCGGCTGTGGGAAAGGCAGAGGGGAGCCCAGCACACGGTGCAGGGAGCGGAAGATCTGCCTTCTGGTGTGACTGGGGAGGTCAGGGGCCCTGACGGACAGAGACTGCACCTGGTCCACAAGACCCGTGCGACCCAGAGCGTGGGTCACTGGCCCCGCAGCCACGCACAGTGCTCAGCTGCACCCCTGCTGATGGTGCTGGGTCCCGACGGACCCTCCGCTCGGGGCAGTAAGGCCTGGGGCCAGCACGGTGGTGGGCAACTCCAGGATGTCTTGTGAGAGCTTCGCTGCTTTATGAGGTGTCCCTTTCCTCACCACGTTGGCACACTCTGCCCGGGAAGGGGAGGGGAAGTAAATCTGTGAGAATCGAGGCCCAGATGGGTGAGGCCCTCGCCGCGGGCCCACGTGCAAGGCTCATGACGGCACAGGCTGAGCCCGGCGCCCTTCTCTCCGGTGCAGGAGGCTGGCCAAGTCCACTCTGCTGCTCATCCCTCTGTTCGGGGTGCACTACATGGTGTTTGCTGTGTTCCCTATTGGCATCTCCACCAAATACCAGATACTGTTTGAATTGTGCATCGGATCGTTTCAGGTACATGTGGGAAGGGACCGTGCCCTCCCCCCAGCCGGGTGAGCGGCCTCTGACGCCCCTTTCTCACTTGCAGGGCCTGGTGGTGGCGGTCCTCTACTGTTTTCTCAACAGTGAAGTACGTGCTCTGTCACAGCAGGTGACATTCAGCTTGTGCGGGATTTCCTCCTGTGCCCCCCACCTGAACGAGAGCCCAGGTCTGCCGTCGGGGCAGCCCCGGTGCCCCGACGGCCAAGGCCGCCTCCTCCTCTCCACACCAGCAGCGTTGGTCGCCCTGGCCTCCCCCAGGCCCTGCTCAGGAAGGCTCCCCGGCTGGGTGGTTGGGAGGGACCCTGCCACCCTGCATGGTCACCATCTTGCTCCTTGACTGTGGACGTGAGGCTGACTGGGGGTGGGGGGCACACAGATGAGAAGCTTGTTCCCAGAGTCCACTGCCCACAGTGAATATCCATGTGCGAGCCCCCCAGGGCCCCACTCTGCTGAATGTCGTTTCCCACGTCCTTCACCTGCCCAACCTCGCGTGGCCAGCGCCACCCCCGACCCTTCCTGCCATGCACCTCTGCTAACACGCTCACCACGTCCCTCTCCCCACCATCAGTCCAAACGCCCTTCACCTCTGTCAGTGGCTCCCAAGCACCGAGTCCCCACCGGTGTCAGGAAACCCCTGGTTCCTGCTGTTTGGAGCTCGCTGTTGGGGCGTCACCTTCTGTACCCACAGGTCCCCCCGAGGAGAGGAGTCGGCCACAACCTGTCCGGGCCGGCCTGGCACGGGCTGCTTCTCTTGAGAGCGCCTGAGTTTATGTTTCCAGCTTACACCCCGTGTGACCCCCGCTTCCTCACTGCTTTGCCCTCACCGCAGGTGCAGAGCGAGCTGAAGAGGAAGTGGCGGGGCTGGTGTCCGAGCCGGCCCTGCGGCCGGGACTACAGGCTCCACAGCTTGTCTGTCTCGAGGAACGGCTCAGAGAGCGCCCTGAGGCTCCACCGGGGCTCCCGCGCCCCGTCCTCCCTGCAGACAGAGACCTCGGTCATCTAGCGTGCCACCACGCGCCCTGTCCTCCCTGCAGACAGGGACCCCGGTCATCAGTGTGCCGCCACGCGCCCTGTCCTCCCTGCAGACAGAGACCTCGGTCATCTAGCGTGCCACCACGCGCCCCGTCCTCCCTGCAGACAGGGACCCCGGTCATCAGTGTGCCACCACGCGCCCCGTCCTCCCTGCAGACAGGGACATCAGTGTGCCACATACTGCAGACGTACTCCCCGGGGCCCTTGGGCCTCCCCTGGTGGGAGCATCCCACAGAAAAGTCCTCGGTAACGTCATAGAGCTGGCCTCTGCTTATCCCCTCGGGACTGGGTTATGTTGTAAGTGAGACTTCAGTCTGGTTAGTGTTAAACTCCAGCATGTAGGTAATTTTGCTCATAATGTTGTTTGGCTGAATTGGCCCATTTTTGAAAAGAATAGGGAGACGGAGATAGTCCTTGACCAGAACTCAGATCCAACCATTATGGAAGGAAAGCAAGGGGCTTTCCTAATCTCGATGCCAGTTCTGGGCAGGAGGCAGCGGCCTGACCTGGGGGCTGGGCCCTCCCTCTGCATGACCCCCACCAGGACCCCTACCACTGGCCGGTCCCCATTCGGGCAGCTGTCTTGCCTGCAGGACTCGTGCAGAGAAGCCTGTGTAGATGTCCAGGAGACTCTGGCCAACCCCGGGTGGAACCGCCCCTGCTGGGTGCCCTGACTTGCCCCAGGGCCTCCTCTCCCTGCCTGTCCACCAGGACAGCCGGCCGGGTCCAAGGAAAGTGCAGAGAAGGTGCCAGAGGATCACAGCAGGGAGTGGCGTGTCACCCCTCATGGGTGTCGGCGCTTATGAGGGGCCCTCAACCATTGAGCAGACTCTTCATGAGGCCACGTCAGGCCTCTTCCCCCAAGAGCGGTGAGAAGGCTGGATGGCCGGTGGCCGGGCTTGTAGGACCTGGTCATCAGGGTGACAAAGACACGAGGCATTTTATCTGATGGGAGCAGAAACCCACTCTCCTTTTTTTTTTTTTAATTTTTTAATGTTTTATTTATTTTTGAGAGAGAGGCAGCGTGAGCAGGGGAGGGTCAGAGAGAGAGGGAGACACAGACTCTGAAGCAGGCTCCAGGCTCCGAGCTGTCAGCACAGAGCCCGACGCGGGGCTCGAACCCACGAACCGTGAGATCATGACCTGAGCCAAAGTCGGACGCTTAGCCAGCTGAGCCACCCAGGCGCCCCAACCCATTCTCCTTTTAATGAAAATCATCTTAAAGTCATTTCTGTTTAAATGGAGAATTATTCTAACAAAGTAAATGATGTGTCCGCCATAGCTTCCAGCGCCCTGATGTCTGCAGACGCGGGAGGGAGGTCTGGGTGGCTGCGGAGCCACAGAGGGAGCAGGAGGCCGGCGAGGGGGGCGGAGGCCACACTGCCCGGCCCTCACCCTGTGCACCCAGCAGGCGGCATCTGCCCAAACCCCGTCCCGCTGCTGCGCTCAGTTCTTCGACCCCTTTTATGATACTGTTGCCCCTAAAAATGAGGCCGCTGAGTCTTCTTCCTGAGGCACCATGGACGGAGGCCACAGGGCCAAAGGCCGCGATGGCTGGGGCCAGGGAGCAAGGTCTGGCAGGCAGGGCTGGGCCAGAGCGGAAGCTCACGTTGGTGTGTGTCAGAGGCCTGGACAAACGGACAGCAGAGCGGCTGCGTTCAGAGCCCACCTGGAGGCAGGGCCCCTGCCTCAGGTGACTTACTGTAGCTAGATCCACATGAGCAGCTGGAGAGCGGGACCCAGGCCTATGTGGGGCCGCAGGTCGTGCTCAGGCATTAGACACGCCCTGGGCGTCCAGGGACCTTCTCCTCAGCAGCACGCGCCCAGGCCCAGTGAGGGGCGAACCGGGCTGTCTTGCCTGGGAAAGGGCAGGGGGTCGGGAAACTGAACATTTACTAATAGCAGGGGCTGGTGGTCCAAGAGTCAGCACGTGTCATCTTAAATGTCATAAATGTGAATGGGACACCCAGAAGTCACGTGTGGAGGCACTTCGATAAAACCCGATTTCCTAGCTGCAGGCTGGTAGACCCACTCTGCAAACCCTGTGGTCCGAGGGTCTCTAACTGACGCAAGACTTGGCACTTTTTAGCTGAGTGCCGTCACCTTCAGAGGAAATCTCCCCGCACCTCAAGCGGAGCTCGGATGGAAGAGGGAGAGGAGGAGGCATGTGGCACCTTCGCGGCCACCGGAAACAGCCACCCTTCCCCAAGCACTTGGGTCACTTTCCAGGACATCCTCCTTAGAGCGTCCGGGCCCACAGTCGTCATGACTTACAGAGGCTCCATAGCCCGGGGGGTGACGGCCCTGCACGCTCCCAACCCCAGGGCCACAGAACCCAAGAACCTGACTAGGGGCGGGGCTGACGCACGTGTGTGTGCACGTGTGTGCGTGTCTGTAAGCTGACCCCCAGCCTCGTGTGTGTCACAGGCGGTAAAACCTGGTTCTGATTCCCTCCCTGCTCACCCAGACGCCGCCTCCGAGAGGAATGCCACGCACGACTGAAACTCGGGTGTGCAGGAGGCCAGACTAGAAGCGGGTGAGGGCGGCTCGGGCCGAGGTTCCTGCAAGCAGAGCAAGAGGGCGGGAAGGAGCGCGTCTCGGGGCCCAGCTCAGCCCCCGGCCGCGGCATCAGTACGTTGTGAGCTACTGCGGATGGGAGGGTCCCGCGGAGGAGAAGCAGCAGCAGAGGACAGGGCTGTGAGGCCTCGGGGCCTCCCTGAAGAAGCCCCGCCTCTCCATCGACGGGAACCGGGTGCGTTCCTTTCTTACCAAGAAAGGCAGTTTTTAAGTGGCTTTTTTTCAGGTTACAGAAATTATACAGGAGTTATAAAAGTTCAAATATTCTAGGCAAATATTACTTAAAATGTGAAAAATCTCTCGATTCCACCTTCCATCTGCCCCCTTCCCTTCTAGAGGTAAATATTGTAAGTAACTCATACTGTTCCCAGTATTTCCCTCTGTTTATGCAAACCTCTGTCTCCTCCTTGCCTTTTCTTCTCTTCGTGGAAATAAGGTCATGTTATTGTGTAGAAGCCTCTACGATTTTCTTCTTTAGTTAAGACACATTGTGTGGATCTTGCCTGTGAACCTACAGACGGGCTTTGTTTTTAACAACCACACGCTGTTCCATGGCACGGGGTATATTTGGTTTATCCCGTCCACCCCCCGCCGATGAATGTTTGATTGTTTGGCGAGTGCTTGCACATGTGCCTGGTGCCCTCCCAGAATAAGCTCCCAGAAGAGGAGACGCTGGGTGCAGGCACGCACAGTCCCCTCTGGGCAGCTGCAGCCCCTCTCGCCAAGGCTGTGATCGCTCCTGCCCACTAACCCCAGCATCACCGTTTCCTCTCTTCCCCGCCCCCAAGCTGCTCGCCTTGAGGCACGAGAGACGTGAGCACCTCTTCTGTCTTCTGATTCAAGGCTGAGCCTCACCTGGCACATTGGCGTCACGGCCGGATGGCCAGCTCCCTTCCCGTCCTGGAAGCCACCCCTCCTGAACACAGGTCCTGCTGCCGTGTTGCAGATTCACTTATGTTCCTGGGAAACGGGGACGAGACGCAGCAGAGGCCATGGGTGATTTGCGTCACGGCTGTCAGGTACTTTGAGAGGCACCACTTGGCTTGTGGACCTTATAAAAAGGATGTAGGGCATCTTTTATACAGAAAAGTGGTCTTTGGAAGATGGAAAGAAAAACACTCGCTTCCTTCATCCTCTTTAAAGGTCTCGTAGGGAAGAGGAGCAGGCAGAGCTACTCGGCAGGGGATCTCCCTGCTCATGGAAACAGCCCCACCTCCCCCTGCCCCAGGGTGTCCCAGACGGAGCCCTGAGTGGCAGGTCACAGCATGAACACTGACCCCCAGAGCTAGCACAGGACCTTTTAAGATTTAGGGCCATACATACCCTCTCATGTACTGAAGGTTGCAGGTAATGTAGTCAAAGAAACCAGTCTATGAACTCAGCACACCTTAGAATGGTTTAAATAATTGTGAATCTAGAATATGCAAGCTTTGTTATCTTCAAATCATAACATAAATAATTACAATCCTCTCAGATTTGAAAACACACTACAGTGAAGCCCACTACAAGGGGCTCACACTTCTGCAGATTTTTACCTAGTGTGGGTAGATGATGGCTCCCAAATCTATTAACCTGCAGTGGAAACCCTGTCTGTTATTAGCTCTACAGAAGCTGGACGTGTGTAAGGCACAATCTCTGTAAACTTAAGTCCAGGTTTTTCATATGTATTCGTGAAACACACACACTGTGGGGATAGGGTGCGTTTGCATGGGCGCATTCCACCTGCCTCCCTGTTGCCTCTGGACAGGGCTCTTTCGGCTGGCTTCCCACATCCTTCTCTCCCTCCTTCCAAAGAGCATCCGTCCTTGTCAGACAGCCTCTGGGGCTTGAGATGGGGGACTATGGGAAGAGAAGGCCTGGAGAGGCCTCCCTCTGGGCAGGGCTGGTGGACACAAGCCGAGAGCAAGAGCTGGCGGGAAAGGGAGCCGTGAGGACCACCACCCAGGAGTGGCGCCCGTGCTGTAAGAAAACATGTGAACTACTCAAAATTCCTTTAGATGCATGGACTTTTCACTCTTTTTTCCAGTTTATTTATTTTGAGCGAGAGAGTGAGAATGAACTTGGGTGGGGCAAGGAGGGCACAGAGAGGGAGAGAGAGAGAGAGAGTTGAGCAGGCTCTGCACTGTCAGCACAGAGCCTGATGTGGGGCTTGAACTCACAAACTGAGATTATGACGTGGGCCGAAATCAAGTGTCAGACACTCAACTGGCTGAGCCACCAGGCACCCTGGACGCTGCTTTCGGTCCCATAGAACACTTCCCTGGGAGTGAAGCCGTGGCTCGTGGGTC